AACACACACCACATTAACTCACACACACAAACACACACCACATTAAAGTATTGCAATAATATCACTCAATTTCTTAACTTAATCATTCATGAGTTGAAATAAATGTTTCCTACACGAATATTAACAAGAAATTCAACCAGTACGATCGGCCAAATTGATATCACCACAAAAGTAACCCCAAATGCGTGTAAGAACTCAGAACATTGCAGAAGTGAAATTGCATTTTCCTTATGCCACAAAAGAGTATATCTGGATTTCAAGTCCGTCAAGTGCCACGATTGGGTGCCCCAGTAGCTATTGGCGGACCGTAAGAGTATCTCCAAGTTCCACATACGCTGCATTTATCCATCTTCACATCATTCTCTAAGGTACAAAATCGACATGACCAGATCGATTTTTTCAGATAGTCTTTGGGTCTTTCTGCTGTGCATGCCTCACATAGCGGAGCTAACGGCTGCAATTATAAGAAAGCATGTCATCAGTTAGGATATATCAATTTACCATATGTTACAATCAATGGGGATCTACTCAGCAAAACCAGCATAAAAGAACACGAAAAGATATGCCAAAACCATAACATTTCATAGTCATTTGCCACCAAACTCAAGCGACATTTGCATGGTTCAGAAGGAACAATTAACATAAACATTCACCCATCAACATGAAAAACCGCACCTAAAGGATAGCAGGGATAAACATATGAATAGATAAAAAAAAAATAAATAATAAAAAAAACATGACATCATTTAGAGTAACAGTAGCAGCACAAAGTCAATCCCTGACTTCGTCATATTGATCAACAGAAATTAATGTTTGAAGAACAAACCACCATAAAATGAAAAGGGATAAAGGAAACCGGTCAAAGAAAGGGAAAAAAGGGACAGAAAATGAATAAAGGACTCACGGCGTTGAACAAAGTGCAAACCAAGCACTGCCAAATACCACATTTGTCATTAGCTCGGTCATGGCCAGACATAGATGACAAGGCCGAAGCTTCCCCTGACAACCCCTTTTTACAGTTCTTGCTATTAGACATGGAGTCAAATTCATCAGCAACTTCAGTCAAATCTATAAAGTTAACACCATTATCCGAGTCCTGGTTCCTCTTTCGAGATTTTACTTTATTATGTTCATCAAATTCCTTGCCTGATATTTCGCAACAGCATTCCTTGTCCAAATCTATAAAGTTAACACCATTATCCGAGTCCCGGTTCCTCTTTCGAGATTTTACTTTAATATGTTCATCAAATTCCTTGCCTGATATTTCGTAACAGCGTTCCTTGTCCATATCATCTTCCCCTAATACATTACCAAATTCTGAACCACACCAGATGTTATCCCGCATTCTTTTCTCAGCTCCCATTACAGCAGCTTGGGCAGGATTAAGTGTCTTCATGATGGTTCTATCACCACCGATTTTTTTGGGCCCTGAGGGCATCAAGGACGCGAGACGGGCCCGATTTTGGGCAGCAGTCAGCACAGACTGGCGAAGGGAAGAGAGAGGTTTACGCGAGGTTCCACCTAAACGTCGTCCGGGAAGATCAAATCCACGTCCTTCGCCACTTATGCCTTTGTATATGAGGTCTTCACATTCCTGTTGAGATTGGATATCACATTTATAGGACATATGAAAGTAAGCAAGGTGCCTGATTGAATAAGGCAGGTTGAGAACTGTAATATTCTTATTTACTGAAGTTAAGGAATTATCACCGCTATATATAATTGCCGAATGCGTTGAGCCTAAGTGGCAGATTCTCACGCTTCGGAATCCTATGTTATTACATTTCCTTTCTTATTTAATTCATACACCAGTTATTATAAATGTATATTCTTCTTATTTTTAAAAATTTAAATTTTTTTTGTTTGTATTTTATTTTTTATATATGATATATCAGATTTATTATCTTTTAACGATCTTCAACTTGACATCCATATGATATATATAAAATACAAAGCAATGATATATATCCTTATAAATATATTTTAAATTCAATTATAAAAAAAAACTACAAATTGTCGTATGAAGCAATAGAAATCGATTTATATTAACATATTATAAAATATTTATTTAATTGAAAAGAATAAATATAAACTAAGTATGAACATAAAATAACTATAAAACAATATTCTAAAATTTGTGTCTCGTCTTAAATAAAAACTACAAAGAGATGGGATATTATAATAATATTAAAAATTTAAAAAATGTTAATTAATAATTAAAATTAAAAAATTATTATTATCTTTAATTCCATAAAGATTAAAAATACTACACCAATACACATTATATTTAAAATTGTTAAATTTTATAACGTTGAATATCTAAAAATATAACAGATGATGGAAGAAAATTTTGTATATAAATTATTAATAAAATTTGGAAAAAAAATTAAATTATCAAAATAAAATTATTAAGTTGTAGATAATACACACACACATATTTATGTGTGGGAGTGTGTAACATTAAAAAAATATCATTTTAACAAATTGATTGTAAAATGTAGGTAATATTTTAAATAAATAACTTTGTTATTTTTTTTATTATTAGTTTTATACTTTTTTATCATTATACTCTAATAATATAAATTTTTTACTTATTTATTTCGAACAAATAGTTTATTTTTACTTTAATGCATCCTTGTTGTTCATGAGTGTTATATTAACTGCTGAAAATTAATTAATCTATTTAAATTAGAAAAATATGAAATTATCTTAAATAAAATAAAAATATTTTTTGAATTTATAATATTATTACATATTCTTTTACTTTATTGTTAATAATTTATAATTTTTATTTAACAATAAGAATTTTATTTCTTTTTCAGTCTTTGTTGCACAATTTTTTTTTTTTCAAACGCCCGTGTAGTTTACGGGCTTTGTACTAGTAAGACAATGTTGTGAAAAATATCAGGGTATGCACTTGGTGAGATTTTCAGAACACTCCAATAAAATACCAATGAAAGAAGCCATAAAGTACCAACTAAATCATTGTAGTGACACAGTTCAGTATCTTAAATGATTATATGAACATATTTTAATCTTTGAAGTGAACTCGAAATGCAATCATATATAAGTTGATGTGGGGCTCAGTTTCCAAATCTAGCTTTCTTGCATAAGATAATGCAGGACAACACAAAATATTACTTACGATGTCAATCCAAAGAGAAACAATCTTTACCAAAAGAGAAAGGACTCACTCAAACGTATAGTAGAATGTCTCAAATCTAAAACAAGAACTGAAACAAGTGAAGTTCAGTCATCCTATAAACTGCAGAGTTAACATCAAGACCAATTGCAGAAACATAAAGCAAATCCCAATCACTAATTTGAACACATTTGAATAATCATAAAAAAATTTAAAACAAAAATTTCTTGAAATGATACTCGACTCACATGAGTTGTATATCAACATTATACCTTTCGAAGTTCGTCCCAAAGCTTGTAGAAACTGGCATTGTGAGCACTATGAGCATTGTGACATAGCTCATGAAGCATTGTATCCAGGACTTCATGAAAAGGAAGAAAATCCAAATCACTCTTTGCCCTCCTAAGCCTCAATTTAACATGTATACCATGTCCAACGTTCAAGCCGAGCAGGTTAGGATTCTTGGGACTGCAAAACTCAAAGCCATCAGTGGTCCCTCCCACACAGGATTACAAATTCAAGATAACCTATACAACTCAATCCAATTGCTCAAATTGCCCTTAAAGCGAACAAACGAAAAATGAAAACTTTGTCATCTCTATATCCATCAAAGTAGCAGAACAGGATCCTTACAGACACAACAAATCATCCAAACAATCGAAACAAAAACCAGAGGTTGAAAGAAGTATGTACCACATCTCGGAGAGTAATCTGACCCTCCAATTGTGCTTGCGCATGATGGGCTGAACCTGTTTCGCGACTTTTTCCAGAATCTTCTGGGCCTCTTCTTTCCTAGGTTTTCTCTTCAGCGCTTTGATTTCCCATACTTTGTTGAGATCACCAGAATTCATTGGTTTCTGATTTCAAATTCGAAACCCTAATCGGAGGCCCGTTTTCCTAAATTGAAATTCAAGATAACTATGGAACCCTACAATAATAAATAATGAATTGCATCACCCATCAAACAACCAGAATTTTGTGCTGCCATGAATAAGGAAGGTCGCCCTATGGTTCAAATGAAAATGGCGGGCTTTTGAACTGTGTATATGGCACGGAGAAGTATTCAATTGACGGCGATTGGATGAGATACTTACGGGAAGAAAATATACTACATTTTATTTTGAAATTTAAATACACTCCTCGACCGTAGGGTCTCTATAGCATATAGTTTAAAAATAATCCTGGACAGGTGATTGACCCGTGTTGAATTTCGGATCACCGATCTAATTGTCGGGTCACTAGATCAATTATTAAGGGAGATGTCGGTCCCTTTACAGAATCATTTTTTCGGGGTTTATAACTCAACTATTTATGACAGTTGCATGATGATCTAATGGTTACAAATTCCGACGGAATAGTTCAGGTACGGGACCATAGCATTTCCCAATCTATATCTATATATATCTAAATAGGTTGATGTTAAATTTTTTTTGGAAAACAAAAATAATTAAGTCAAATTTTTGACTTAATAATTGAGGAAGCTTTTTTAAAATCCGAATTTTTTGATTGATTTTCGCAATTTGTTTGATTTTTAGGTTTTTTTTTATTAACAGAGGAAAGTCATCCATAATTCACGCATAAAATCAGTTCAGCCGAGTTTCACGCAGTTAAATTCATTTCACGATTTCGCATTTAAAATATATTCAAACGAGAAATTTATGGAATTTTAGTACGTGGCCAATTTTGATAACAGATTGGTTTATAGATAAAAATACGAATCCCAATTTTCTTGGATTTATTTCAATACAAAATCAATTTTCTTATAACAAATTTTTAATCATTCAAACATGTGACGTCAATCGTTCCCATGCCGCCTAAATTTTCCCCAAACTTCGTCGCTCTCTCAAGCAATCTCCACCGCCTCCCTCTGCGTTTTCCGACTTGACGTCAATCGTTCCCACGCCGCCCGGCCCTTTCTAGATGTCGCGCTCCACCCCACCTTGTTTATCGGCGGATGAAGTGGTTGCCAAGTCCGATTCGCTCTCTCCGGATGGTGGGTTAGGGTTTGCGATTGCTAACCTCTCCGGTGCGGTGGCGGGTCCTTGGGTCGTGGTACCTTGGGTTTGGGCCGGGTGCGGCTCTGTGCTTTCGGTATCTCGAGTTGGAGCGTCTCGAGCCTCTTTGACGGGATGCTCTCTGATTTCGCCTCCAACGGATTGGACGATAGTCTTGGTCAGGTCTTCCGGTCGCAGCGGTTTTGGGGGGTCCGTCGATCTGCTCTGTTCCTTTTCGCCGGCGGACTGGTACTCAAAGGTGGAGCCCTGTTGGTCGACGTCCGATTGGATTCGCGTTCGTCGGTCTCGATTATAGGTGAGTTTCCTCTTCTTGTCGCTCTGTCTCGGTTTTATTTTGTCTGCGACTGGCGGTGCTCCGTGCTCTCTTTGTTCTCTCCGAAGTGCGGCGGAGCTCGGTGGCTGCGGCTCTATGTTGGAAGACAGAGTTAGTGTCTGTGGTTCGGGGGAGAGGTTCTTGGTGTCTCTGTTTATTCGGGGTGGTGGAGCTGGGGCTGACATTGAGAAAGTTCCTTTTCACACTGTTTTTCAGAGGCCTCTAGTGGTGTTAGGGGTCTCGGTAGGATGGTGCTGGGAGCTCTCTTGGTGTTATTTAGCGTTGGGAAGAATTGGTCTGGGTAGGTTCCGTGGCTTGTGTCTCGATTCAGCTAGGCAGTTTGGCAGTGGAGGGGTCGATGTTCTCATATCGAGGGATTTTCTTGGGTTGATTTGGTGGTTGCTGTTTAGTTCGGAGTTGCTGCAGAGGGAGGGCTTTTGTGTTCTTTTATTTTAGTGTTCTTTTGTTCTTGTCTTGTGTGGTAGGATTGTGTTTTAGTTGTGCACGTTGCCTGAGTTTCGTGTATTTTTTTTTAGTTTGGGCCGTTGGCCTATGTGCATCCGGGTGTCAAATTTATTACCCTGTGGGGGTCCGACACTCCGGTATTACCCTGTGGGGGTCGTTTCTTGTTGTTTCAGTTGTTTGTGTCGTTGTTTTTATTACCCTGCGAGAATTGCTAAGGCGGCTCTTATTTGAATAAATATGTATGTTCTAGTTGTTTAGTTTAGTTGCGAGTTTCTTTTCTAGCGGTTGCTAGGCGGGTTTCTAGGCGGTCTCCTGACCTGTCCTCCCACTTTTCAGCCATTGGTTGCTTGTATTCGCACCTTGTGCGCTTTTGATTTATAATAATATCTATCGTCTCGAAAAAAAAATGTGAACATAAAATACAACTTTACGTCAATTTGAAGATAATCCTATATATATATATATATATATATATATATATATATACCATTTTTTTTATCATATTCTCCAACTCTTACCAGATTCGAAATAGAGAAAAATACAATATTCGAAATAGAGAAAAAAATTTCGAAATACGATCAAAATAAAAAATGGCGCTATTGTGAGATATACTCGATATAGTGAATCGCAGAACAAACCTTATTTAAAACTGAGACTAGTCTAATTTATGTAAAATATGTAAACGTTAAACGTGTTTCTATATATAATATTGTATATACTTTTAAACATGTTGATTAAGCAGATTTTAAGGATACTTTTAAACACACACACACACACATATATATATATATGTGTGTGTATGTGTAAAGGTATGATTTATTTGAAATAAAAACTAAAATTCCACCTAAAATTTTAAAATTATTAAATTTGGTAATCTTTTTGGAAAATTTTCAAAAAAAATCTCACCTCTAGAAATTAATTACTCATTTATGGTATAAAATTGGCAATGTTAATAAATCCGATTTTGATATAATGTGAAAGATTTTATTTAGGTATCTGATGGCTGTTTTGGTAGAAAATGAGTTGTTATTAATAAATGTCTGAATTTATGGTATAAAGTAGGCAGTTTTTTTTTTTTTTTTTTTTTTTTTTTTTTTTTTTTTTTATGTGAAATGTATGAATTGAAGTGATATACATTTTATTTAGTTTGCATAGAAGTGTATTTGGAAAATTTTAAGAACAAAATAAGTGGTATGAATTTTATTTGGTATGTGTATGAAATTTGAATTTTAGGTTGATTTGTTATACAATCAAGGTGATCTGACTATCAATTTTAGCATTTTTACATAATATTTTGCCACGAGATATTGATGATAATTCACTAGATTGGTTTGCATTCCTCTTGAAAATAAGAAAGATCTTTGAACAATTATTGTTTAATAAAATTTAAAATTTTTAATTTAATTCTCGATAATTAGTTGATAAATTTGAACTATAAGGTAACCGAAAACAAATATAGAAAATTATGAGATAATATATATGTGCGTGTGTGTGTGTGAAATATATAATAGAATTTATTGTGTAGTCCAAATTTGGGTTCTAAATTTATAAGTCCAATAAGTAATTATTCATAACTTACGGGTCAATATTAACTCGGACGTTAATAAAATAATCAATTATTTATATTTTAATAAATTATGCAATTACTTAAATTTTTTTTATTTAGATAGTTTATACAAAAATAAATTTATTGTAATTAACGAAACAATCTAAGTTTTATAGATATACTTATTATTTATGTAGATTTTTAAATATGTGATAAAACTTTACAAAATACTTATTTTTTGGAACCATGTTGTAATCAAATCGAATTTCTGAATGAAATACTTAAAATAACGCTTATTATAAAATGAATATACTATAATTTATTGGTCGTTGCATCCACCATATGGGTTTTGTATCAATTTTAAATAAACATATTATATATAACTTTTTTGAGTATTTTTAATTTGTAACAAGGTATAACTAAGAGAAATATTATATGAATATTAATTACTGATAATATTTGAATATGTTAATTTTTCATTATACTTAATTATAAACAAGATCTAAAATGACACTATTTTATAATGAGTGAAAATAAGCATGCAAATCATATATTAAGTTATTATATATCATAAAATAATAAAAAATTATTAATATCCATTTTTTTATACTAATCAATATTTCTTCATTGATTTAAAACATGCAATTATAACTATTACCCCGTGCATCGCACGGTTACGTACTAGTATAATATAAAATGGGCGAATTTATTTAAGTTATTTGATGTAGGTATATATATAATGGGATTTATTATTTAGACCATATTTGGATTCGAAATTTAAAAATTAAAATGAAAATAAGTACTTACTCATAACTCATGGGTCAACATTAAATTGGACGTAAATATAATAGTCAACTTTATAATTTAATAAATTAGTCAACTACTTAATTTTTTAATTTAGATGGTTTATACAAATATAAGTTTATTTTAATTAATGAAACAATATAAATTTTAATATTATACTTATTAATCACATAGATTTTAAATATACAATAAAACTTTACCAAAATAATTACTTTATGGAACCACGTTATATTCAAACAGCATTTCTGAATAAAATATAAAAATGACACTTATTTTGAATTAATATAATGTAATTTATTATCAATTATGTGTATCGTACGGGCTGTGTACTAATTTTATATAGACATATTGTATGTGATTTTACTCAATTTAAATTTCATATAACATTTTAAATAAATTAATATAGGTATATTGTATTGCATATTGATTTCATACTATACTTTATAAAAATTATTTAATGATTTAAAAATATTGACGAATATCTCTTACCCGTGCATCGCACGGGATTTGTACTAGTCTATATAAAAAAGTTTGACGTTTATCTCAAATAGTAACTGGTTCCCGCCTAAAAAAATTAAAATTTAGTAAACTTGACAACTTTTTTCCATTTTTTAAAAAATCCCGTCTTTGCATCATTAAATTCAAATTTTAAAATATTTTTGATGTAAATGTATGTTATCATCCGATTCGGTAAAACACCATTAAGAG